CCCTGCAAGAACTGGACAATTTCTTTTTTTTTTTTTCCTTATTCCTAGAGTATAGTCCTATGGAGGTTCCAACACAAAGGACTAGAACTTAACCGGGACTTCTTCTTCTTGGAGGATCATGAGCTTAAACTTTTGTCTCTCTGACCCCTAAAAATTATCAGAATATCTTCTGATTAAGGTTGTGGGGTGAGGGAATTGATGTGACTGCACCTTATCAAAGAGTAACATGAAGGATCCTTGTGGTATAGGACTGTTCTGTATCTTGAGTGTTGTGGTGGTCACATGAATTTACACGTGATAAATAGCATACAGCTAATAAATAGGCACACAAATGAACGCATGTTAAACTGGTGAAATCTGAATAAGGTTGGTGGAGTGTATCAATGTAAATCTCCCAGTTGTGATATTTTGTTGTAGTTATGCAAGGTATTAACACTAGCCAAACTGTATGAAGGATACATGGGCTCTCTCCATATTATTTTTTTTGAAGTAAAATATATATAACGTTAAAATTATCATTTTAACCATTTTTTAGGTGTATAATTCAGTGGTATTAAATACATTGACAGTGTTGTGCAATCATCACTACTATCCATTTCCAGAATGTTTTCTTTTCTTTGTTTTTGTTTTTAAAGTCAGAGTTTCACTCTATCTCCCAGGCTGGAGTGCAATGGCATGCTTGTGACTGCTGCAGCCTCGGTCTGTTGGGCTCAGGCCATACTTCCACCTCAGCCTTCCAAGTAGCTGGAATCACAGGCTCGTGCTACCACACCTGGCTAATTTTTATTTATTGTAGAGACAAGATCTCGCCATGTTCCCCAGGCTGGTCTCGAACCCCTGGACTCAAACAATCCTCTCACCTCCACTTCCCAAATTGCTGGGATTACAGATGTGAGCCACAGTGCCCGGCCAGAGTGTTTTCATCATTCCATACAGAAACTCTGTACCCATTAAGTGATAACTCCGTCTTCTTCCCTGTCCTCAGTTCCTGGTAATCTCTATTCTATTTTCTATGAATTTGCCTATTCTAGGTAGTTTATGTAAGTGGAGTCATACAATATTTGTCCATTTGTGTCTGGCTTATTTCACCTATCATTTGTGTTGAAGCAAGTATCAGAATTTCATTCCTTTTTATGGTTGAATAATAGTCCATTGTATTACATATATGCTTTTTGTTTATTCATTTGTTGATGGATATTTGGGTTGTTTCCACCTTTTGGCTATTGTGAACAATGCTACTAAGAACATTTTCATACAAATGTCTGTCTGAATTTCTATTTTTAATTATTTTAGGTATATATCTAGAAGTACAATTGCTGGATCATATAATAATTGTATGTTTGACTTTTTGAGGAACTGCCAGACTGTTTTCCACAGTAGCCACACTATTTTTCCTTCTTACCAACAATGCAGGAGTTCCAATGTCTTCACCTTTTCACCAGCACTTACTATTTTCCTTTAAAAAATAACTGTCCTAATGGATATGAAATGGTATCTCCTTGTGGTTTTGATCTGCGCAATGACTAATGATGTTGAATATCTCTTCATGTCCTTAGGGGAAAAGTTACTGCCAGTATCAAGTTCATCTCTTTAGGTTTCCTTTTCAAACCTGGTCCTATTGTCCTTCACTGCCTTTTTAGCTCGCCAGTGCTGTTTTAAACACTTTGCTCAGCTTTTCTAGCCATTCTCAATGGGATAGTTGATTCACATTACCTAATACACCATTATTTAAAGTCTGTTTTTGTTTAGCTGTCGTTTTACAAAAGAAAAAATATTTTATTTTATTTATGTATTTATGTATTTATTTATTTTTTGAGTTGGAGTCTCACTCGGTCGCCCAGACTGGAGTGCAGTGGCCGCTTCTGGCCACCGCAGCCTCGCCTGCTGGGCTCCAGCGATCATTCCACTTCAGCTTTCCAAGTAGCCAGAATTACAGGCATGTGCTACCATGCCCGACTGATTTTTTTTGATTTATTGTAGAGATGAGGTCTCGCTGCCCAGGCGGGTCTCGAACCCGTAGGCTCAGGCAATCCACTCACCTCAGCCTCCCAAAGGCGCAGAATTACAGGCTGAGCCACCGAGCCCGGCTAAGAAAAAATATTTAAATATAATAATTTTTTAAAATTTTATTTTAAAGATGTGGGGTACAATTCAGGATTAGGTAAATAAGAGGTTATTATACAGGTAAATTTTGGGCTTCCCTTTGGTCTTTACTTTGCCTGGTTTAAGATCAGGTATCCTTATTGATGTCATATCTCCCCCCCACCCCCAGCAGCATTTCGCTACTGCTAAACCCTTCCTTTTAGTATTATGATACTATGCTCTGTGTTCACATATGAGTGAGAACTTGCGGTACTCAGTGATAGATCACTGATAATGATAGACTCTAAATCCATCTGAGTTGCTGTGAAGTCCATAATAATTTTCCTCCTTTATGACTGTGTAGCATTCCATTGTGTATATGTACCACTTTTTTTTATCCAGTCCACTTTTGATGGGCAGCATAGTTGGTTCCATGTTTTGCTGTTGTAAATAATGCTGCAGTAAACATGCATGTGCAGTTATATTTTTTATAGAATGATTTGAGTTCCTCTAGGTATATATCCAGAAGGGGGATTGCTGGATTGTATGGAAGGTCGAATTTTAGATCTTTTAGGAATAGCCAAACTGTTTTCCACAAAGGTTGTATTAGTTTATACTCCCACCAACAGTGTTCCATTTTTCCCGCATCCTCTCCAGCATCTGGAGTTAGGTGGTATCTCGGTGTGGTTTTAATTTGCATTTCTTTGATGATTAGTGAAGCTGAGCATTTTTTCATGTATCTGTTGGCTGCTTGTATGTCTTTTGAGAAATGTCTATTCATATCTTTGGTCGACTTTTCTTTTTTTGAGTTGGAGTCACTCTTTTTGCACAGGTCGTAGTGCAGTGGCATACTCACGGCCACCGCAGCCTCGACCTGCTGGGCTTAGGCGATCCTTCTGCCTCAGCCTTCCAAGTAGCTGGAACTACAGATGCACACCACCACACCTGGCTAGCTCTTTTGTGACTTATTGTAGAGACAAAGTCTCACCAAGTTACCCAGGCTGGTCTCAAACCCCTGGGCTCAAACAGTCCTCTCACCTCAGCCTCCCAAAGTGCTGGGATTACAGACTGAGCCACCATGCCTGGCCTTGCCCGCGTTTTAATAGGGCTGTTTGTTTTTTTCCTTTTGGCACGTTTGAGTTCCTTGTAGATCTTGGATATTAGGCCTTTGTCAGATACACAGTTGGCAAGTATTTTTTCCCGTTCTGTGGGCTGTCTCCCCACTCTTGTGATATTTGCTTTGCAGAAGCTTTTCAGTTTGATGAAGTCTCCTTCAAGAATTTAAACTTTACTGTAAGGCTACAATAGTCAAAACAGCCTGGTACTGGTACAAGAACAGGCATATAGACCAATGAAACAGGATAGAGATTCCGGAAGCAAAACTTCAGTTTCTCGGGCAACTCATCTTCAACAAAGCCTCCACCAACAACCACTGGGGAGAGGAGAACTTATTCAGTAAATGGTGCTGGGAAAACTGGCTGACCACATGCAGAAGGGTGAAACAGGACCCCTGCCTATCAACATACACAAAAACCAACTCTAAATAGACCTAAATGTAAAACCTCAAACTGTAAGAATCTTAGAAAATGTAGGAGACACCTTTACGGAAATTGGAATAGGCAACCAATTCCCGATCAAAACTCCAGATGCCCAGGCCTTAAGAGATACATACAGTGATTTTTAAAAAGCTAACTCTTTATGAAACTTGAGAATAGTGCTAAATCTTTACTCAGTGAAAAACATTTCTACATGAGATGGAGGTCATATAGACTAGATATATGGGGCAAAAATCGTGCAATTTCTTACAGTATTTTAAGAGACAAAAATGTACTTAAAGCACATAATATCAGGAAAAATGTACTTATTTTAGTTGAGTCCCTTACTTAAACATTGTCTCTGCAGAGAGGCTGTGTTGGTGCTTCCCTAGGCTTGATGATTTGCTAGGAGGACTCACGGGAATTAACATATAGTCATAGTCATGACTGGTTACAGTAAAAGGATACAAAGCAAAATCAGCAAAAGGAAAAGATGTAAGATGAAGTTTGGAGGAAACCAGGTGCGTGCTTCCAAGAGTCCTTTCTAATATCAAAATAGGGACAATTCCTTCAGGAATGAGTTGTGACAACACGTGTGAAATGCTGTGTACCAAAGAGCTCACCCAAGCCTGGTTGTCCCAGGTTTTTACTGGGGATCAGTCACATAGGCATACAACCCCTATATAACCTCAGTACTGATCTTGGTAACTAACCTTAATAACTGAAGTTCCAGATTCCCAAGAGAACACAGGTGTTCGTTATAAATCACATTGATAGCATAAACTATCTGGACAAACTACTACAATGTGACTTAAACCCTCACACACACAAGAACATGCTTATCAGACAGAGTATCCCAAGAATTCTTTCCAGGGACAAGCAAAGAGTCAGTCATGAAAACAGGGCTTTCTCGAGAATGTGTAGAATTTGAGCAACCCAGGCCTGCTAAGTTGATTCTTTTCCACACAGAGGTCCACCCTGGCTAAACTGAAGAAGGAGGCACTCCTTGTTACTCTCTAGTCCCTCACCCTTTTGCTAGATAATTATTTATTTGATGCTAGTTGAATAACAAATATTTTCTAATTTGTAAGTTTATTGTCTTTCTTCCTCTGCTAGAATGTAAATTCCGTGAGACCAAAGACTTTTTTGCTTTATTCACTGCAGTACCCCAGTGTCTAGAACAGTGCTTGACCTGTAGTGGATGCTCAACAAGTATTTCTTTTTTTTTTTTTAACAAGTATTTCTTAAATAGATGAATGAATGGAAGTTATTATGTAATTACTTAGGAGTGCCAATAGTGTTGACTGGACATGCTGCCATTGGGACATGCTGTTTTCCAATGAATGACAATTTTTCATCTGTTTCTTTCTCCTTCTTGAACAGGTCTATGATTCAATAGCCCGATCTTGCCCTCGAAGGTTTGTTTTGCCCTTAAATGTCAGTTTGAATGCACCGGAGGAAGAGAACCTCAGTCCATTGTCCTATTCTTCAGCCACTGCTGTGAAAAAGACTGATGGAAAGGTATGTTGAGAATGGACATTAGGCTAAGACTTTGAATTTTAGTGGTCTTATTTTATTCACTGGCTGTTCTTCACAATGTTTGGTGCCCAATAAGTTCCATAACATTCAACTGAGCGGGTAAAGTCATGGAACATTGCTTGCACAAGAATCGCAGAAATTGGGTAGGAATGAGCACTATGTTTATCTATTTTTCTTGTGTTTTGAAATAGAGAATTGCAGCTTTCTAATGGTTGTGGAATGCCTAAGCATTTGAGATTGACATTGGCAATCCTCACCTTTTAGATATTTGCTTCTCACAGGCCTATCATTGTGCACTATCATCGTCTTAGCTTTAGTAGAATACAAAGTGAACTTCCACTTCCTGTGCCTTTGATAGCATATTCATAAAACCTGATAATTTTTTATGTGTTTATACATATGATGGAAAGAGGAAAAATTTTTTAAAAATGACATAGAACCTCAGTTTCCAAGCATTTGGAAACACTTATAGGGTATTAGTCCCCTCAGTGACCTACATAAGAAGAAAATAAGTGAGAATTAATCAATCACTACAAATCCTTTTGGAATCTCTTTTAGATTTGGTGCACTCATGAAAATCTACATTATGAGGACCTGGAGAAGGAAGGGGGCATTGAATTTCCCCAGATCAACTATAGTCAATTTAGTGGCAAAAAATATCGTTTCTTCTATGGCTGTGGCTTTCGGCATTTGGTAGGGGATTCTCTGATCAAGGTTGATGTGGTGAACAAGACACTGAAGGTAATGAAAATCTCTTTCCTTTTAGGAATTTTTCAAAGACCAGTTCTTCCTTTGAATTTTTTTAAAGGTAGCACTTGAGAATCTTTAATATTTAAGCTGCTCACCATTTTCTTTTATAAAGTTCTAGAACCATGGAATTATCTAAGTTAAGGATATGTTCCTTCTAGGGAATCTATGGATCCCAAGCCCAGACCAATAATTCTTTGCTTGATCTTGATATAATTTTGGGAGAAACCATGGGGTTAAGATTGTTGGGACACCTACGTTTCAGGTTGATGGGAAATTATAATCACATAGATTGTATTTGATGATAATGGAATCTGGGGCTGCAAAATCTTCCTCTCATTCTCCTGTATTTAACTCAGTAAGCCTTATTCTTCTATTGTTGGAATAGTCTATTGACAGCCAAATTCATGCTGGGGGTAATGAAAGCTGTAGAAAATATCCTGCTCACAATTGTCCTTTTATTAAATGCTTTTTTGGGGACTTGCAGGTTTGGAGAGAAGAAGGCTTTTATCCCTCAGAACCTGTTTTTGTTCCAGTACCAGGAGCCAAAGAAGAAGATGGTGGGGTTATTCTTTCTGTGGTGATCACTCCCAACCAGGTAAATGTATTTCCCTGTCACCAATCAGAAAGAAAAGTAGCACTGAGCCACTTGATGAATCAAGGATGCATATTGATGCTTGATAGTTTACTTTGATTCCAATATGGCACCTTCTCTGTTTTCTTCTCCTCCTTACATTTACATGCCCTTTAATCATAATCTATATTTTATTATTGTTTTAAAGTTCTGTCTATAGAACTTTAATAGTTTACATTTGCATAGGAATTTGTTATTTACAAACTACTTTCATATATGTTATCTTATTTAGTAATTAAAATAACTTTGTGAGATACCATTTTACACACATGGAATTTGTAACTTAAAGTTGAAAGAGACTTGTATCAGAGCTCATAGTCGTAATGCCAGTATTTAAATCTGGGTCTTCTGACTTTTTGTCTGATGTTCACATCATCATCAGTGCTGCCAGTTTCAACCAATTGACCATAAAGTTCAATGTTGTAAGCCATGGCTTGGTGTTTCAATAACGTTATTTACTACCTGACTTTTCGTCAGGGCAATCTTATGGCAAATAGGTTCACCCTGAGTACCAGTTTTGATCAGTTATTAATGACTACTGAAGGTGTAGGATTCTGAGGCCTTTTAAGGGTTTAGTGGGAAAAAGACTGTGATCAATTAGTGATGTCTGCCATGGAATTGGGACTTTGTCCTGATGCCATGCGCTTACCATGTCTGTAATTACATCTGGGCAAATCTCAGTCTGCCTTACAATGCTGCCCTTTGAACAGCTCCAAAGTAACACAAAATGGAGGAATTTCTGTTTGGAAGAAAGAGATTCTGTGACTGGAAAGGAGCAAGCAAAAAGATAATTAAACTCAAAGAAACCCTGTGAAGGTGTTGATAGAAGCAACTTAATTTCTTTGCTCTAGATATGAACGTCTTAAGCCATGCCTTCATTCTCAGCCCAGTTCAGCAATTCAGGGTACATTTAGTGAGTGGATAGGTGAAACACTGTGCTTGGCCCTGAGGATAGATTGGCCCTGAGGATAGATATGGAGATGTGTAAGTTATGGTCTCTTCACTAGGAATTTTACAGCCCAGTGGAGGAGGTAGATTTTTGATGAAAAAAAGAGGGAATTTTCAATATTGTCTTTTCTTTTCTAGAATGAAAGTAATTTTCTCCTAGTCTTGGATGCCAAGAACTTTGAGGAACTGGGCCGAGCAGAGGTATCTGTGCAAATGCCTTATGGATTCCACGGCACCTTTGTACCCATTTGATGAGGCCTGGAACTAAGTTCAAAACAAGTGTGTTCCATACAAAAGAATAGCAAAAAGGGCACCCTACCTTTCAAACCATAGTCATTTGGTTTTAAAATTTCTATTAAAAACAATTCGCTCTTTCCCTGACACCACAAAATCTCACGAAAGCTCAGGTGCGTTCAAGAATTGGCTTCACCTGTATCCCACTGCCATGGCCAAGGAAGGCATTGCTACTGGAGGAGTAATGGACCTTAATGCTGCTTTACAAGAGGTACCGAAGACCACCCTCATCCATGAGGGCCTAGCACGTGGAATTTGCAAGGTTGTAGCTATTGTAATGAATTTATCTATGTGAAGTTGGTGCTGAACACCAAATTAACCTAATTAAAGGCGGATGACATCAAAAATCTAGGGGAATGGGTAGGCCTCTGTAAAGCTGACAGAGAGGGAGCACCTCACAAAGTGGTTGATTGTGGTTGTGTGATAGTTAAAAACTATGGAAAGAGTCTCAGTCCAAGGATGTCACTGTAGAGTACTTCAAATGCAAGAAGTGAACAAATAGAACCTTGGCAATTATGTTCCTTAAAACAAACAAAACAAAACCAAAATATACCTGGTGAGACGTTATGGTTTTATATTTTCTTAAGGTTCTTCCTTGGAATCATTAAGGAAGTATTGATACAACCTTTTGAAGAGAGTTTTAAATTTACATTTATTGATATATATTTCTCTAGGTAATAATAAAAATACATGAACGAAAAACTACAACTAGATCATTACTACCATCAGATAGGTGGGTGACAGAAGTCTTAGAAGAATACAAATGATCATAGATAGTAGACCTTGAATATAAATCTGAAAAGCATGTTATTCTTTCCATCACAATCTACCTGCTACCATTAGTCCTAAGGTATTCAGAGGAGAGGACACCAGATATATCATGCTTGGAGGCCTCTTCTGAACTGGCTGCTTCCCTGCTGTCAGCAGCAGATACTACTGCAGTTAGTTATACAACCCTCCTACAGACTACCCATACCATCCTCTACCCTGCTCCCAGCTCTATCTTGGGATGTTGTTGTTTTGAGGGGCATCACTATAATCAGGCATTTTTTCTAATCTCCAGGTGTATTCTCCAGGATTGATGAAAAGCCAGTAGTTCTTCATTTAATTGGGCAACAGGTGGCACTAGAGACCATATTTTCTCCACATTTCTAAATCCCACCAGTTTTCACCAACACCCTTAACAGCCGGGGTCTGTCACTTAAACCACATTCTTTTTTTTTCTTTCTTTTCTGCGTTGGAGTCACTCTGTCGCCTAGGCTGGAGTGCAGTGGCACGCTCAAGGCTACCCCAGCATCGACCTGCTGGGCTCAGGCAATCCTTCATTCTCAGCATTCCAAGTAGCCGGAACTACAGGCTTGCGTTACCATGCCTGGCTAACTTTTTGATTTATTGTAGACATGAGGTCTCACCATGGTGCCCAGGCTGGTCTTGAACTTGTAGGCTCAGGCAATCCTCCCAAAGTGCTGGGATTACAGGTTTGAGCCACCATGCTGGCCTAAACCACATTCTTGCCAACGCCCTCAAGATCCCTAGTTCCCTTTTTCTTCAGTTACACTGCCCTCCCCCTGGCTAAACTCTACTTCTGGACTTGTTAAACAGCCTGTATAGTGAATGTTGCTGGAGAAGACTCCCCCAAATGTAATTTGGGGCACCTGTGAGATTATGGTTAGACTTTTGGCACAGTCCTGCACCCACATTGTCAAGTTTCCTGTCTAATTTTCCTTAAGAGTCATTTCAGCTTTCACAAACTATTTTCTTTAATGATGTGTTCCATACATACAGATGACACCTGTGGGGCTTTGCACTGTGGCAGTAAGGTAAAAGAGCGAAGTTCCACATCTGGGTTCGAGAGCTGCAGAACACAGCATTGGGTTTAGAATGGCAAGAGAATGCTGAATCAAAACTAATACAGCAGAGGCAGGAGCATAGAGCCTCAGGTAACTATGAGAACATAAGTCCCCCAATGTTTCCTACGAGGACCTGAAAAGGTATTTGTTGCACTTTCTCAGACAAAATGTGGAGATTTTATCTAATCTAGATCTGAAGAGTGAAGGACACTCTAGTTGATCTCTGGAAAGTACACAGGTCTGCCGTGTGTGTTTATAAATCTTTTATCTTTTTAAAAATTATTTTTTCTTAATTTCAATAACTTCAGGGGGTACAGATAGTTTTTGTTCTGGGCTTTAAGTGTACCCACCACCATATAAATCTTTATCTGAACTTCACGGAGTAAAGACAAAAAATATGTTTATTAAATATGCTCTTTAGGGGAGCAGTATAATCATAAGATTTTTGACTCAAGAAAACCTGATTTCTGCCTTGACTTGGCTATCTGTAAGGTTCTTAAAGAGAAGAAAAAAAGGATCAGTGGCATTTTGTGTGGTCACATATGCCTGGTAATCCAATCACAGATGTCCGGTAAAATTGAGCATCTGATCAAGGCTCAAAGCATTGGCTGGACCTCTTATTCTCCCTAAGCCCAACTTTGCCAATAGCCAGTGTCCAGAGACTCAAGGAAAGGGAGAATGTGGTACACAAGAGGGGAAAAGGGAGAGGTAGATGGGCATCCCCTGGGGCAGCTTATCACAGGGAAGTGAGAAGCAGACTAGAATGTGAATAAAAGAACCAGGGCTACTTGGGTGAGGGGGAGCTTTGGTCCAGTTTTTTTTTCCTCTGAGCATAGCACCAGAACATAAGCCACATCACATGTGATACTTTTAACACATTATGAGCCTGCCTGTGGGTAAACATGGCCTGGACAGTGCTTGGAAGCAGATGAAAATTCCTCCCTGGGGGAGGAGCTAGGAGGGAGATAAAAAGGAGTGGAGGCTCCTTTCCTTTACACTTAAAGTTTGTGGTCCTTCAAGTCAATGTGAGATAGGGGTCCAGAAGGGCTAAGTTTCCTAAGAGAAGTTACAGAATGTAGTTACCAGATATGGTGAGAAGACTGGTCAAAGCCAGCAGAGACCAGCTAAAACCAGGATGGCATTGATAATGACCTCTGTGTGCCCTTTTTGCTCATGTGCTACTTATAATACATTAGTGTGCTAAAAGACACTCCCACCAGTGCCATGACAACTTAGAATTACCGTGGCAACTCCTGAAAGTTACCCTATATGGCTTAAAAAGGGGAGGAACTTTTGAAAAACTCCCCACCTTTTTCCCAGAAAACTCATGAATAATCCGCCCCTCGCTTAGCATAGAATCTAGAGGTAGATATAAAAATAAAATACCAGCGATGTACAGTGGTAGCCTTTCTTCCTGAAGACCAGCCAAGACTGCTCAGCCGTGGAGTAGCCTGCATTCTGTTATTTTAATAAACTTGTTTCCATTTTCCAGCTGAATTGCCAGTGATGCTCATAGGCTGCACCATCTATGGGACTAGCCATCTTTCTGTTTCTCTGTTTCTTTAATAAACATATTTTTTATCTCCTACTTATGGCTTGGGCTTGAATTCTTTCCTGCACAAAGTCAAGAACCCATTTGGCCTCTCGATTGAGACCCCAACTTTGGAGTCCCCTGGTCTCTATCAAATGTTTTCAGTCTTTCATGTATCCACTGTAGTCAAGAACTTGTCAATATGCACTAAAGTTGCACTTTTCCACATTTCCTTTGCTTGCATTATCTCCTCTTCCTGGAATTATCTACCTGATGAACTTTAAGATCCAGCTCTAAAGTCCTCTTTGAAGCCTTCTTTTACTTTCTGAGGCAGAATTGTAATTTTAGTTTGTCATAGTCTATGTTTGACTCCCCCACAAAACTGAACTTTATGAGAACCGAGAACATGTGTTTGCTATTGATCTTGGCCCTCTGGCACTCATTTCCAAATAAAGTGTGCCTGGCATTTTGCAGCTGTTACGTAAACATTTTCAAATTTAATGAGCGAATAAGCCCTGGAAGGAGATATATACAGGGTCTGCCTAGCCAATATGTGTCCATTTGAGTACCTTGTGGGATCTTTTTTTTTAGTTGGAATCTCACTCTGTCCCCCAGACTGGAGTGCAGTGACATGATCAGTCTGGGGGACAGAGTGATCCTGAGCCCAGGTGATTCTCCTGCCTCAGCTTCCCAAATAGCTGGGACTACAGGCACACACCACCACACCTGGCTAACTTTTTTGTAGAGACAAGGTCTCATGCCTCAACTGATCCTTCCACTTCGGCCTCCCAAAGGATTTCAGGTGTGAGCCACTGTGCCCAGCACCTTATGGGACCTCTTAACAGAAATTAGCCTCATGAGACAAAGGAGCCAAGTACAAAGCCAGTAAATGTTTCATGAGTGCAGTGGGAATGGCTGTTGCTCTCAAAGCACTGAAAGCTAAATCAAGGGGAATGTTGTGTGCTTGAGTAGCTAATGTATTAGTCTGCAAGGACTGTTGCAACAAAGTATCACAAACAAGGGGCTTAAACTATAGAAATGTATTATGTCACAATTCTAGAGACTAGATATCAAGGTTGGTTGGTTCTTTCTGAGGGCTTGGAAGGATCTGTCTAGGCCTCTCCACTGGGCCTGGAGATGGTGTTGTCTGCGTCTTCACATCATCTTCTCTTTGTACGTTTCTGTCTCTGTGTCCAAGTTTCCTCTTTTGATAAGGACACCAGACATGTTGGATTAGGGCCAACACTAATGACCACATCTCATCTAATTATCTCTACAACAATCCTATTTCCAAATAAAGTTACACTCTGTGGTTACTGGGGTTAGCAGATAACACATGAATTTTGAGAGGACATCACAATTCAACCCATAACAGGATCACCGAGGGTGGATTTGCTATAGAATTAGCTTTAACAAAGTAATTTAAAGCAAGAACTCTGCAAATGCAATGAAATCTTTTACTAAAACAAGTTAAAAAAGGCAACTCCTCTTATCCTTTTATTGTGGCTATTTAAGATGGTTTTGGAATGAGTAAGGTGTTTGTGTAACCACTGACTGCTAAGGGGTATTTATCTCTGAAATAGTCAATACCTGGGAATTGTTTTCTACCCCGAGTGATATTGGAATAGTAATTCACTTGTCTGGGCCTGTATTTTCTTATCAGTAAAGTGACAGTATTGAACTTGACAGTCTTTAAATAAATACATTTGAATGTTCCTTAAAGTTCTTTCTTTACAGCCCAATGTGGGAGATGAGACAAACATTTGAAAACGTGAAGCATGTTTGCTACAGAACACGTTCATAATTTAGTGCAGAACAAATAGAACATGCAGCTGGAGACAGGAGACAGTTGAGAGGAATCGCCAGTTGGACTTCCACTTCTACCACCCCGTGATTTGATCTTCTTTTCCTAAATGTACAGGAAACTCTTCCTAGTCCACTATTAATCACTGACTTGTCCTGCTTTTTTATAATTTGATTTTTCTCATATACACGATATGCTATTTTCCCTAGTACCTAGAACCGTACCAGTCACATAGATGCCCAATAAAATATATAATGAAAGAAGGCAAGAGGTAACACGGCAGTGGAAACTCTGTAGTTTGGACACCCTTGTAAGGCTTGAGGAAATGAGGCTTTCACGCTCAAGGTGTCTACACTGCCCAGAGAATTGCTAACGCATGTGTTCAGGGATGCATGCGTTCACACTATGCCAACCCAGAGTGATAAATGGGCCCATGCATGCTTGAAGATAAAGATGGCTTTAAAACTTCCCTTATATTCGTTACACGATAGTGCAAAGGACTGTTGCCACGTGGTCCTACTTGTGTTCTCAAATTCCCTTTTTTTTTTTTTTCCCTAAAGAGACAAAGGCCTCGAAATGTTGCCCAGGCTGAACACAGAACATCTGGGCTCAAGCGATCCCTCCCGCCTCAGCCTTCCCAGTAGGTGGCACTACAGGCGTGCGCCACCACACCCGGTCAATTCCCGCTCCTTTTCTGTCACCGACCGTGGCCCAGGGACTCATCGGATGGAGTAACCAGCCACCGGAGCTCCCTGTGGTAACTAATCCAGGGCTTTCTAGAAGGGAGTGGGAGGGGAGCTCAGAGGTCACTGGAGGGCCAAAGTGTGCCCCCGCTGGCCCTAGCTGGGCAGACCTCCAAACGAAGGGCACGAAGTCCTCACCCGCCTGGGCCGCACCAGGTAGGCGCAACTCTCCGAACCGTTGCTCCGCGAGGATTCGGAGAGCGAGGGACGCCTGTCACGGTCACCCGAGGCCG